AGAGCTTCTACCTTCACGTAACCTCAGGGTATGCTTTATCACATATAGAGACAGAGACGGTGTGACTGAGACGCAAGAATGTTTATTGCTGACATCTTGTACAGTAATCATCAAATGTTGTACACCCTGCACTAAGACTGTCATTTGCATAATGTGCTCCATTTCCCCTTCTGCTTCTCTCTTCATTTCCTCTTAATACGCCCATATTGTCTCTTGAATTTCTTTGGGCAGAATCTTTACCCATTGCTGGTAATTCCCTGATTTCTGCCATTCTCTCAACATATACTACTTATATTCATTCTGATCAGCAGCGTCTACTACACTAGAACCGCTCTTTATTGACTGCTTTATGATAAGCCCAGAAACATCAACTTGCCAACAACAGTCAGTGAGCTTTAATATTTACAAAAGATATATTGGTGATACTTTAACAGTGTGCGATGAATATATGTTTTGCGACCTGCTTAATACGCTAGCAATACCCATTCCTCAATCAACTTCGCTGTAAAATAAGAATCAAACTCAACGTTCCATTCTCTTGATGTTCAACTCTAAAGAAAAGATTCACTCTGTAGATCTGTTTACAGAAAGCCTACGTGGAACGAATAGTTTATTAATTTTCAAAGTTCAATTCCTCTAAATAAGAAGAGAAATACTGTCCATTAACTCGCTTCGGAGATCGGGAAAATACACACAGAGTACACGGTTAACAAAGAACTCTAAAAATGGCTTACCTCCCAAGATTCACAGATAAGAACCCAAAGCCAAAGAACACATTCAGCATCGAGAAAGATTCTCTTGCTGAATTCCAAAATGACATTGCTGAAAATATTCTCAAAAACAACTACTTAGATGGAATACATTTCGCTGCCAACCTACGAATGATTTTCTCCTGCAAGAAACGTTCTGACCTATGTGTGAGACGAGCTGATGCATTGGACTACATCAGTATGTGCATACCAGTTTACTTGCTCCTGTGAAACTGAGTACGTAGGTCGCTTTTAAAGCGTCCTTGAGAACACTACCTAGCCTACGTAGAAAGGGAATGAGTCTTCAGCTCAATAACAGAACATCTTGTTGTTTCAACTTCTTTTGAGAACTCTTCAGAAATCTTTTACAAGGTTCAATCAAGCCACTCAAAGGGAGCAGGATGAAGACATTTGGGTATAGCTGAAGCACTAACCATCCAAAGATCCAAATTACTGCTATAATGTGTGAGGAAAAAATGTTTTCAAACCTCGACTTCGACATGGTCATCGTAAGACACTGACTGCTCTAGATAAATCTTGAGTTGGGTAACTACATTTATCTTCTTAACTCCTCATTTATTTTCTTACTTTAGACCTCCATTTTTATGGTGTAACCTCCTTTCGTTATTTAATATGTTTCAACACCTGACCGTAAATAATTCTCAAACGTTCTATCCTTTGTGACATATATTCGCGAATGTACAGCTTAGTGGATGACTTCGTCGGAAACAAAAAAGTTTCCTTCTATGGGACCGTCTATTTTGTCTTGTTCTATGATCAAAAGTCATAACTGTTGATTACTTATGAGATGTTAAGTAGTCAACCAAGTCATAAAACAGAGGCAAGCAATAATATTTAACTGTTAAGCGAAGGGCAGCATTTTCATAAGTGATAGTCAGATTTTTAGAAGTATCACAATTCTCTTCTTGTCAAAATATGTTCAGCATAAGATTCTGTATCAAGATATAACGGAGAGTATATACCAACCTGGACAAAATTACTGGTATGCTGTCAGCTCGTTCAAAAAATATCGACTTATTCAGCAGTTCCCGTGCTTTTAACACTTGTATCGCCAAAACTATATCTAAAACAGTGTCTACCATGAATGCCTTTTTCACTGAAAATGATATTTTATTCATACAGTGAATTGTCAATAAATAATTATTTGGTTTTTCTATATTTAAAAATAAAATGAGAACCAAGATAAAATAATATGGTGACACTAAAAAGACAAGGATGCGATACAGAAAGGTAGAAAAAATAAAGGAAACAGCAGATGTATCTAAGAATCAGTCTCAAAGAGGTATTCGCTACCTTGGTTTTACTTCTCAGTAATAGAAAAAATACTAAAAAAAACTGTAGGGTGGTCGCTACTAGTTTTAGTTTTGAGCCATCTCTGCTAACATTACAAGCCACCGAGTTCCATGTCCTCTATCTGGGGAGTCGTCAGGTACTTACAAGTACCAACTCCACACAACTATTCTCCACAGCACTATGTCATCCAGTTACCACCACACCGCTTCTTTCAACCAGTTACAAGGTAATGCGAAACTGAGTGGTGTGGAGGCCGCCGGGGTGACGCGTGTATCACATGTCCGAGACATCGAAGCCAGTGCTTCAAGACGTCTACATTCAACAAATAACGATCTGTGTAACACCCGAACATACACTGCCTCATATCAGAATCCCATACATGGTGTTTCCACACAGTGCAAATAGTCCGGTGATAGAAAATGAGGAGTCGTTAGACTTCCTCTGCTTGGAGAGGTTTCACAGAAATAGAAGAGAACTGCCAGCACCGATACTTTGTATACCCGACCTTTTACTGCAAGGCTGGCATCACGATGGCAGTAAATGTGTTCCAGATTGGTCCATAATACTCTGATTTCCGGCATGCAGTCAGAAATCTCATGAGTCGCACCTGGAATCACACGACTAGCAAAGTAGGCAAACTTTCCAACGGTTCGCCGATAAGGGTGAATGCAGGTACAGACTCTTGCCAATCTTGTGGAAGCAGTTTAAACTTCGATGGTGCAAAATGCATATCATACTTTCGGGCACTGGCCGCTCACTGACTAACTATTATTTGATTATCTGGAGGTTTATTCATTGATTTTAAGATGAAATTCATCATGGACTGACAACAGTTGGAGAAAATATTGGAAGCATTGGATAGCTGCTTCCTCCTAGTAGGAGGTAGGGACCATTGGACTCCGAACCAATGGTTCAAAGTTAACGTGCTGACTACGGAACCTGAAGGTCCTGGGTTCGCTCCTTGGCTGGGTGAGGTCATGGACGCGCACTGCAGAGGAGTCCCATACTAGGACGAAACAGCCGTCTAGTGCTTTCAGGTTCCCATTGTTCCTCCAGCTGGTGTCAATTCATGATGAATTCCAACCTAAAATATTATTTGAGCAGCCTTTGTCTTGCTGGACAGCAAAACACTATCGTCCACATACTTGAGATAGGAAAGTTTCGTCTGACGACAGGTCTACGCTGCCATCAAATGACCTTTTTATCCTGGGTATACATTACGGTTAACTGACTATTTATTCGTTGAAGGTCAGATACCTATTTAGAGTTGGTTATATTTTCCTACATAAATCATGGGTTTATTTCGTTAGAATGTACAGCTTTTTAATCTAGTATATACAGCCAGTAGGCTTTCAGTTCAGCATTCTGCTGTTATTCCTCTGGGCTGAGACAGTCACCAACGCAAGATAGCGAATCAATCCCATCTAGGTCATGCATGAGCTTAGAAAACCAGTTGGTAACCAGTCTAGTATGCGGTAAACCTAAACACCTTAGAAGTATATCATCGATTTCAAATATCAGAAGACAAAGACAATATGCATATGTCCTTTAGATTTACATACGTTATGAACTCTTGAAGCTCAATCGAAAGGGTCACTTGATTCCTTATGAACAGAAAGCTGCAGAAGGTCAAAGGGTTTGTTGTCAAGTCAAAATGTATACAAAAAGCAACGGTAATTTTATACTTTCAACTTTTTTGTATCTCAAGAAAGACATTTGACCAATTTAGATCTCACACGTACGATCAAGTGGTCTTTCGCGAGTTTTCAGCATGCTTTGAATGCTTTCAAGGAATCCTGGGGTTTGTTGAGGTATCTTGAAGGCATTGATACACTCCACAACAAATATAATCTACCTTCACGAGAACTTAGTTTTCGATAAGTGGTTAAAAAAAGTGGGTCATGGTATTAAAAAAGCTTAGACTCTGGTTCAAACACCACTTATTTATTTTCCGGTCAGAAGTATCACTAGTCATAGTTGTTTTCCTCGCTTTAACGAAATTATTTTTATTGTCTTTGCGCCCATTATTTCGTAATCGTTACTTTCATTCATAAAGAAATTCATTTTCAGAAAATGACGCTTTTCTCATCACCTTTACTGAATTTAACTTAGATAGCAATATCTATTTTTTCTTTAAAACTTACTATACCCCTTCAGAACATTCGCCATAACTTCGCGCTGTTGTTACTTAAAAGTGTACGTAAAGAGTCCTAAAAACTAATTTTGTAGCTACTAGGAAATTACATGAACGTAAACTGGACTATTTTACATGAACAACTGTCACCAGTTGATGTACGCCACATGTGACAACTCACGATAATGAGAATGAATTTTATGCAGAGCCTGACCCGAAGTATCCAAAAGGTTGATAACCCTAACCGTATTCAATATCTATGAAACGTTTGCACTTCATGTTTCACGAAAAAATAGATATCATGACTTTAATCACATGTATTTGCATATCCATTCATTTTTAACAGTAATCCAACATTCCTGGAGTACTTAAGGGCGTAGAAGATAATTCTTCGTGGTGGTGGTTACACATGTTTTTAAATCTGAACTAGACAGCCATGACCACCAACAAGTACACACCTGTGAAACGTTGGAGGAAAAACAGTTACCGAGTAAAACTTATGCTTTGATCGACTGTCGGCATAAAGTTACTGAGACAAACAAATAATATTCATCCGTCGAATAACTAGAAGAACGGTACAACAAATGAATTTACAATGCACTTTGGAAATACTTCCCTATTAGACTAATGTTTCATCTCAGGTAACAGAAGCGAACACCAACGAACATCTAATTTAGTCAAAGATGCATGAAAATATTTGAGTAATTCAGGGTACTTATAAGTACACAACAAAATATTTGTATCTGAAAAACAAAATTTATTACATCGTGAATTATAGGGAGAACAAAACTATCGGAAGTTGGTTACGAACGTGAGCGAGAGGAACTGGAACTAGATGATGAGCTAGAGCCAGAGCCCGAACTCGATGATGAAGTAGAAGATGAACCTGAATTAGAAGAAGACGAGGACGATGAACGTGATGATGCCTTTCTATCATGACGACCAACATTTGCAGGTTTCCCATCCCCTCGATTGGGTCCTGATTGTGGTTTTCCTTTAGGACTACGAGACCTGGGTCGTTTCGGAGCCGTTCGCGTGCCTGGAGGACCTATAAACACAATTAGAGATTGAGAATTATGGTATGACATTAAGATAACGCTTTCCAAGATCTTTATGGACACCAGTGTATAAACCTGACAATCAGACCGATTTATGTAATCACAGTCGTAAATAGTGAAATTTACCCATTAACTAACAATGGCCCAAGATCAAGTATACGAAATGCTTGAATAAACGATAAGTCTAGTAGCAGTTAAGTGGGTAGCAAAAATAGACAGAAATATCTCAGGAAAAAGTGAATTCAGTCCTTAGATAGAATTTCTCGTTTTTTGCGAGCACTGATGTTCTAAGTGTGCTCACATCACTGTTTTATGAGGACACCACTTACTGCTTTTATATTATTTAATCACTTGAAAATTTCGAAGGCTAGGTAACACCCTAAATTAACAAAATCAGTAGAATTAAGAATCATGAAGAGGAAAATATTCGGACACTATTAACTTACTAGGTCTGCGGTAACGGGAACCTGGATAGGAGAGCGAGGGCGATCAGTTGACCGATTAGCAAATGGACTACCACTGCTGCCACGTCTTATTCGTTTAAGTTTATCAACGCCATCTGAACGACCACGCGGTGGTCGTTCGCGTTCACGCTGTTTCATACGCTCACGGTCTTCATTACGTTCATGAAGTCGAGGACGATCTTGTCTATCGTGGTTTCGTGAATGGCTATGGGAGGTGTGTTTTTTACTCGAATCTTCTTTAGAACGATTGTGCTCTGTGGAATCATTTAAACTTTTTGAAGTATGTTCATCGCGTGACCTATCACGATTACGCTTAGATAAATCATGTCCTCGTTTGCTACAATAAAAAGTTAACAGAAACATATATATACATAGGGAGATAAAAAAAAAATGTCAAAATAAGAATATAACAATAATGAAACCCGAACATAAGCAAAGTCGATTTCCTTACTAATCTTGACGACAAAACACTGGATTACGAATAACCTGAGCTGAAGTTGAATGAAAAGACTTTTGGCAATCAACAAAGTACTCAACAGATAAGAACGGATACCATAGCATTATAGTGAATAAATTCGACTGACGAAGGGTTGAGTTCATTTACAACTCAATTATTGAAGCTATAGTGCTAAAATTTCGAAAACAAAAACCCTAGCATCAAATTAAAACTAAACAGCATCAACGTTGATCTCCAAAGGTGAATAGGAAAATGAATTTTCATCCTCAACTTTACTGCTTACAAATTTTCCATCTTTTCACAACATAGTAGGAAAAAACTTCTTAAGGATGCTTAAATCCCTTATATTTCATACTGACAGTTTGGGTATGTTTGAACTGTTTTACTTCGCCCTCTTTTTTCCGCGCATGGGTCATATTTCGCATGACCCAACAGCGTTCTGATTGGCTCGTGCCTCTTTAAATGAACTGATTATTTCTTGCCTTTCAAGGTTACTGTAAACTCTATAAATAAAGTCTGTTTTCACTAATAAACGTTTTCAGTCAGAGATACTATAAACTCATTTGATTTCCAGTCTTTTGGTTTCTCTCTGCAAATCGCTCGTGTTGCATCGTCTCAACCCTCGACTATCAATCGTTAATTATTATCGTTCGTTCTCACAACTCCGCATCATAACAAAATCCCTACACACACGTGTGAAGTTAATCATCACCAGAAATGAACCGATAAGAATGAATTACTCACCGGTAGCCTGCTCTTTCATCCGTTCGTCCTTCACGATCACTAGTGTGTGCCGGACGTGAATAGACCTCAGAAACTCTAACCTCTTGTCCATCTATTTGTCCACCATTCATGAAACTTACTGCATCACTGGCTGACTTCGCATCAACATACTCAACATAGCCATATCCTCTATTGAATTCCGGGTGAATACGATCAGGTGGAAGATCGACAGAATGAATTTGACCCCAAACAGAGAATATCTCCTGAATATGAGCCTAAAAAGCAAGACAACTCAAAAGTAATTCTTCAGACAATTTACTTTTTCGATGCGAAATTGCGCACAACCATCATTTGACCGACCAATGATATTTTAGTGTATATTATACATTTGTTTTCGATAAATAAAGTGTATACTAGACACTCAACAAGCACAAATGGAAAGTGATTTTTTACGCCACAAAACTATCCTATCCAAATATTATGAAAAGCCAGAAAAAACCACTCAATACTTTTCTAATCTTGTTGAGTTCAAGTTCTTTTGTTTTCTGATTGCAGCATTGCAAAAATCAGTATGCAAGCTAATAACCTGAAAACTTATGAACGATTGTACACAAATATATATTTTGATTTGTTCACAAGAAATAATATTTAAAAAAGCTAGTTGTGTTGGTTGGGGTTATAATATAGTTATCACCCAGAGGTCAGACAACATTAAACAGATACGCTCTGACGAACTACTCCAGTCCGATGAGGTCTACAAACACTACAAGATATACTGTCTCCAGAGTGCTTAGCATTACGTCTAAACTTCTAAAGCGCAGAGAACACAATGGATATTTCCAAGTATTATAGTCCAATTTCAGATGGTTGTAAAACATTAATCCGATGTTATTAAAAGAAAATAAATTCTCATAGTGAAAATTACAAACGAAAAACTCACTCTCGTTATATTTTTTGTAAGCTTCTCAATCAGCACACGAGTAAATTGAACTTCAGACGAACTGTCAACGTTAGGAAGAGTTTTTTCCACATTATTTTCCTTGTTAGTTTTAGATACGTTATGCGAAGATTTGTCTCGATTTCGGTTTTTAGATGCATCTGTAGTTTTCTCTTCAGATTCCTGTACAGCTACTGCTACAGACCCGGTAACACCAGAGTTATCTGAAACTTTGGCATGATCAACTGAAACTGACTTGGATTAGACTCAGACCTGCTGGACTCTTCTTTCGAGGTTGTTGAGGTGATCTTCTTCTTTGGATCACTGGACTCTGCTAATTTATGCGGCATCTGAATAGTCTTATCGTTTACTTTCGAATGAACAGAAGTTGACTGACTGGATGTGGGAGGACGTTCGTTAGGTTGCTTTAAATCTGCAGTCAGCATAAAATCGAAATCATAAATACGAATGAAAAAACGAACTTTAGCATTTGAAGTTACTTACTGATTAAATGAAAAAGTGAACGTTTCAAGAATACCGACTAACTCCTAATCAGAAGCCAAAGAAGGATTCTAAAAATGAACGGATAAGGAGTTTTTATTCTATACGTACTAGTTTCTTCCAACGGAAAAACTACGAATTAGGTTTGTACTTTTCAGAAAACTGAATTTCGCTTCATAATGCAATTCAGCTCAACATTTGGATTCATACTTAAAGTAAGACTGAGACATCACTAACTATTGTAGTATAAAATATGAAGACGTATCTGATTTTTTTAAAGCTGTTGAAATGTTCAACTATGTAGGTTTCACAAAAACGTACTTTGAATAGACATGCTGAGCAAATAATATTGTAGTGGGCGTTGCTGATCAGAACGGATATAAGTAGTATATATTGAGAGGGTGGCAGAAATCAGGGGATTACCAGCAATGGGTGAAGATTCTGCCCAGAGAAATTCAAGAGACAATGTGGGCATATTAAGAGGAAATGAAGAGAGAAGCAGAAGGGGAAATGGAGCACATTATGCAAATGTCAGTCTTAATGCAGGGTGTACAACATTTGATGATTACTGTACAAGATGTCAGCAATAAACATTCCTTCTTTCGTCTCCTTTTTGTCGTTTTCTACAATTATTTACTTTTGGTGACTGCACCACAGCTACTGCCGTACCAGTTAGCTGTCTGGTGACCTTGGCTAGCTCAGTAATATCCATGGTTTGGACTGCGTTTACTAGTCGTAGCTGCTGGGCGATGGCATTCGGGACACTCGGTAAATTGTGGAGTCAGCAATTGTGTCTGGGAGTCCTCATCCAAAGTGAGAAGTGCTCGTCAAAGTAGTTTTGCCAACTTTACAGCCAATCCCAGCAGACATTCGTCTCTTCCAAGTTTCATGCTCCGGAACTGCTGCATCGCCAGCTCCCTGTTCACTGGGCTGTCAAACTCCGCCTCCAGGCGTTCAACCATTCTCTGCCAAGTCTCCTTCACATCCGCACGTTCCACGCCGTCATATGACGCTTCCGTTCGAGCCCACGGCAACATGTCGAGCACCACGACCTTTGCTTTTGGTTTCTGGACATCCACCAGCTACGCGACCCATTCGAAGTCCCTGAGGAAGACCTTGATGTCTCCATCTTCTAACGCTGTATGCCACAGAATCATCATTACGCCCGGAAGCAGCGACATCAATTGTAGAAAACGATAAGAAGGAGATGAAGGAAGGAATGTTTATTGCTGACATCTTGTACAGTAATCATCAAATGTTGTACACCCTGCATTAAGACTGACATTTGCATAATGTGCTCCATTTCCCCTTCTGCTTCTCTCTTCATTTCCTCTTAATATGCCCACATTGTCTCTTGAATTTCTCTGGGCAGAATCTTCACCCATTGCTGGTAATCCCCTGATTTCTGCCACCCTCTCAATATATACTACTTATATCCGTTCTGATCAGCAACGCCACTGCAATATAACTGATATTCAATTCGTAAACTACACGTATAAACGCGACCAACGCCAAAAAAGTTACTCTAAGATGTAATTAGACAAAGTCAAAGAAAGACTTTCGGTGGATACGGTTGAATTACTAACAATGAAATACTAAAGTACTAAAAATAATTTGAAAACTCCAAGAAGTTTTATATGCTAGTTGCAGGCTACAGATGTAAGTACACATGGTTCTCAGCTAAAACATGTAAAGTGATGATGACAATAAGCACTTCTGACAGTCCGCGTTTTAATCATTATTTTACCAAGAGTTTTAGACTAATCATTCATACAGCATTTTTGACTCTCAAGATCCAAAACAGATTTAGTAAACTAAGTCCAGAGCATTATTCTGAAATTTCATTGAATATTTGTTTATGTAGGATCAATTTCATAACCTAAACAGCTGTCGTTTTATGTTACACAGCAACGAGGGACTGTGAAAATAACATTTGTCGAAAAAAATATGAAGATTTAGAAACAGAGGATACCTTATGAAATTAAAATAATCCATAGATAGGTAAGTACAGAAAGCTTGTGGTTCGAATAATATAACGGAATGAATTAACTTCTCGTAGGACTAGGAATTCAACCAATAATAAGCTGTTAAGAGAAGTATCAGTGAATTTAGTTACCAAGTCATTCATAATGCACAAAAATCGAAAGCAGCACCACACAAACCTGACACTCGATTGGATTTTTTGGAAGCTTTGGATGAACTAGAAGACCCGGATGCCGAAGAGTCATTTGAATTAGAATCGGACGATGATGAACCAGAATCTGAAGAACTGGATGTTGACGAATGACTTCGTCTAGCACGCCGTCTAGGTGGACTTCGAGAAATTTTAGAATGAGAATATTTGCTTTCCTGATGTCTGGAGCTTGAAGAATGACTGAATTTTTCTGAACTTTTGACTGGAGCCCTCTTGGTAGAGACCAAAGTCTTTGAGGAGCTTTTACTACCACTCAAATCTGGCATCCTGTTAACTACAAAAGATAACTCAATGTGAAATCAAAGAACTGAATGAAAAACCCGCAAAAAACCGTTACTACAGTACCTCAGAAACCCTGAGATACAATAAAATGCGACCCATCTAGACAACTAGTATACTAACGGCAGTTTGTGTTTACGCCGATCCTCCCAACAACACAGAATATAACTGGACCACATAGCAAACATTCTTTTGATCCTGCACACTGTACATTCTTAATTAATATCTTTCTTCATTTATTTCCGCTAATATGGTTTAGCTCATATAATGCACAGTTAAGCTAAAATTCTATCTATTTCACAATGTCTAGCGCCACTAACAGGAGCTCCTTCGTATATCAGATTTCTGGATAGTAACAAAAACGATGCCACCTTTTACACATACCAAGTGGGTAAGATAGTTAAACAGTGAAGACTTTCATGATATATCTACTTCAGCCACTTGTTAAGTAGTGAAAGATTGACATAAATTTTCGATCAGAATTCTAAACTAAACCATGGATGGGTCATTTTGCAAACTGCACGCTCCATGTTGACATTACTATCACCTGAGTCTTTTCCCCAATTGTCTAAACGTGGTGTTAACAAAGTTTTCATTAGAAACTGCTATAACAAGATCACAAAGTATAGTCTCTAACACAAGTGTCATACACTGACGAAAGAAAATCCTATGGACACCGCAGCTAGGTAATTGAAAAAATCCACTCAGCTGTCAGATGCTAACGTATGCCGTTCAATGAATAAACAATCAGCAAATAAATTTATAGTATACTTGTTTATCTAAGTCAGCCATCCAGGTCCAGTTGATCTGAAAAATTTGGCTTGTGAGATAAATCTCTCAAAGTACAATGCTGATATACTCGACACAAAACAAACGCAACAGCTGTCGATTGCTTACACTACTCTAGCCTGGCTAGTGAAATCAGCAGGTCAGTGTGAGTGCCTTTTAATTACTCATGTTGCTCAATAGTACATATCAGTTAAACCCGTAGTTGAGAAGTTTACAAGTAAATTTCGGCTAAAATTCAGTCCCTAAATTTATGTTCCTTGAATAGCTCTCTCGGCACATTTATAAAAGTTTATGTTTAGTAACTACCGATTTCCTGAAGAAATGAATGATGAACTACGAAGAGCTAGAAGCGAAATCAGCGAGTAATCACATTGGAAATTTATGTTTTTGGGACAAATTAGTGAAGAGGAAGACCCTTTTATCAGTGAAGCATAAATTCATATTTGACATGAAACCTGAAAATGAAGTGATTCAGTTGAAGGTGACGCTTCTACGGAGCTAAGGCGTGCTGATGAAACCACCTTCGAGAAAATAACACGTAAAACTCAAAATTCAGATAAAATTGATACATGTTTGCAGCAGCACATAGTGAGAAAAGTTTTACTGTCAAAAGTGCGACTGACACAAAAATATAACTTAATAAGCGAAAACTATTGCATCTTATTGGGAATTTAGACAACACTAATCGACTGCACAAACATGAAGATGTCCTTTTGATGCAGTTGAATAATATTCTGGATAAAATGACTGCATTTAGGCAAGTAGCGCTTAAGGCATTTAGGTATGTATCTTAAAAAAGTTCGCGGTAACACATTCGACTAATAGCAATCACGCATTACTGTTAGATACAGGAGTAGTTCCATTGCTTTATCCTTAAAAGTTAAATCCTATTTTATGATTTAATGCACTATAAACCTGAGTGATTTCTATGGCTAACAGTAATTAGGAAATGTCATACATTTAGTTCCCTTAAAAAATCTGAACAATGCAAGAACAAAGACATTTGCAGAATAAAATAAGCTCATTTTATTTCATGGCTTTTCATCAGCTCCAAACAGCCTACAATTGAAATGAATTATTAGCTAGTAATAACATCATAACATAATTTTAACACGCAGAAATAAATGGAGATTTGAAATCCAGGATTAGCAATAAGGTAGTAAGTCAAGGAAACACAGGATTAATAGTTACATATCAAAATCTATGGCTATTTATATCTGATGAGATGGAAAATTCTGGAGTTGTGGAGTGGGAGGACAACAAATGAAAATCAGTGTAAAAGGAGAGACTGTTTAGGGGCTGGTAGGTTACGTAATTACATGGAAGACTTGAAAATCGTTAAGTGATTAATATTCGGTGAGTAATTAATGAAGAGATAATGCATTCAAAAGAAAATGGAAGACTATATACATATGCAAAAAATTATATGGATTTACCAAGGTAAAGAAAGGTTAATGAGTCTCTTTCTGAGTACATAGGTCAGGTTAGAAATGTTTGATAGCGGGAGCTTCCACAAATCATAATAAACATGGTGTTTCCCTGAAAGATTGAGAAACATCTATTTGATGTCCTGGTCGACTGCTTTGACCTATGTATTTGACCTCACAATCATTGCAAGGGATCTGGTAACCAGATTATTTTGCTTAATTGCATCGATAGGGTCGATTACAATAACAGAGCACAAAAACTTAGCTAAATCAAGATAAGTAGATCCTAATAAGATAAGAAATTTAGAGAAAAGCTTGGCTATAGCTCTGCATGCGATGACACACAATCACACAGTAGGGTGTGATAGAGCGACAGTGTTGAAAACTAACCTAGTTGGATGGAGGGAGAGGTTGATAACCGAATCTTTGTTTATCGAATCAACACCAAATACATGCAATCGAAATGATTCTGCACCTGTCCCAGATATATGGAAAATTCTACTACCCTTATCATCACAGAGAAGGAGAGAAAATTAGGAATATATAAACTCTCTAAGTTGTGGCGTTACCTGATATGAATATGGGCAATAAATTGTATCCGAAACGTTATTCAGTAAATGTTACTGTTTCACTGTGCGATATTTCCAATAAACAGACTAAAATGGAATTACAATCGACCACAGTGTCCAAGTTTTACTCCAATATTACTACCTTATTGTTAATCCTGGATTTCAAATCTCCATTTATTTCTGCGTGTTAAAATTATGTTATGTCATTATTACTAACTAATAACTCATTTCAATTGTAGGCTGTTTGGAGCTGATGAAAAGCCATGAAATAAAATGAGCTTATTTTATTCTGCAAATGTCTTTGTTCTTGCGTTGTTCAAATAATGGTAATTCGACCAAAATATATCCAATACCGCAACAAATATGCAGAAGGAAGTGGAGATGGATTGGGCATACACTGAGAAGGCCGACTGAGGACATCACGTGCCAGGCCCTCGAGTGGAATCCCCAGGGGAAGCGACGAGTTGGACGCCCGAGGGTGACATGGAGGAGATTGTGTGAGGAGGAAATGAGAGCTCCTGGGCTGTCGTGGAACCAGGTTCAAAAGATTTCAGAGAACAGAGGTCACTGGAGACGTGCTACTGAAGCCCTATGTTCTATTAGGAACCCAAGGGACTAATAATAATAATAATATCCAATAAGCAAAAATTGTACAGAGTGCACTTGGTAGTAGCTATGAGACATTTTATTCATGTAGCGAACACTATGGCATAGAAACATGTACCCAATAGGAGCGATTGGTTCACAGTTAGCGTTTCACATAAAAACGAAGTGATGAATACAAATAATTTTGCTTGAACTTATTTCGTGGTCAAACATAAGACTGGACTTCAGACACTTTTCCCTCTCAATCACTTACAAATTAGTAACAGCAAAATGCATGATTATAAGAGTATATTTTAATGTAATCTCACCATGTTTAGACTAAAATACTAAAATATCCTGATAATGATTAAATCAGACTCAGTGTTCAACTTCTATAAGGATATTCGTAACAACTACGGTCTGGTTGCTAATAGTTTAACATGATAAAAAACTTATTTTTACGAATTATTATTTTAGGATACTGTTCCTCCTCGTCTTGAAAACATTACCCTATTGTTTAAGTGCATTATCAAGGAGGCACCGGATGAACATTAAGCAAACAAGGTGATTTTAAATTATAGAATAACCTTATGCAGTTGGTCTTCTCAACATTTTATGTAAAGAAAGAAGCAGGTTTTTAAATTACCCAGTTGAATTTGAAAATGATTACTGGGCCATAAAAATCCAGCAATTCCTGACTTATATTTCTGATAGGATTACCACTTGGTTGAACCAATGAGTACAAGGAGAAGTGGAGAGCTGTCTCCCAATATACAGCTCTAGAAAAGACCATCGAAATTCGACTATAGATCAATTGTTGCATAATGAAACCATTTTGTTAGAAATACTACGATGAAGATAATTTTTCAGATAAGAAAGTAAGTTACACAAACATTCATAAAGTAAGATGAGCTGAAAAAACTGTGTAAGCAAAACAAAACGTTGTGCATCGTGGAATAGTTTATTGGTACCCACTCTGTATTGCTTTTTTTAAAAATTAAATGATGATTAAGCGCTATTTAAATTAGACTGGATAAGAATAAATATTCCCGAAGTAAATTAATACAATATATCAGAGTGAATATGTGCCTACTGTTCTATTGCAGCGTTGTAGATGGGAAGATTAAGATTATCAGCGTAGCAAATAACAAAAATTAGTGAGTCTTAAAATGCCAATGCAAATGAAAACACACTTTACCTTTCTTATTCAACGGTCAAAGTTCAGAAATATCTGAAAGCTTTCGTTTAGTGGTTAGCTTCAGGAATCATCTCTCGAAGCTAGCGACCAATGAGCGCTAGATTAATTTAATTTCGGGGTTTGTGGGGAGTTATTGACTTCAGGTTGGCGTTCGTCACGCTCTGATATCAGTTAGAGAAACAATGGAAACCTGGGAGCACTCGATAGTTGTGTCGTCTTAGTATGCAACTCCTCAGCAGTGCGCACCCATGACCTCACTCCGTCAGGGATCGAACCCAGGACCTTCAGGTCCCGTGACCAGCACGTTACCATTGAGCCACTGGGTCGGAACCCAATGGTCCACATTCCCAACTTCTGCCTGTAACATTTGCGATGAAAATAAGTGCAGGATGCACTTCATAAACATATCGTCATGTAATAACGTACTGATCACTTGTTAAGTGAACAAGAATTTTAATCATCAGAAAAGAAACCTAACATGGAACATCTAATAGGTCATTTCTAGGAGGAAAAAGGCCACGACTACGCAGCTGATATTGTTTCAAGGTTGGCATTATACTGATAGCCATGAATAGATGTGTTGATTCCGATGTTCTCCAAAAATGCAAAAAATATATCATCAAGAATGAACACTACAACTGTTAGGAAGTAAAATTCTATAACAATAATGATGATAACCGGTACCAGCTATCATCCTACGATTTAAGGGTGAAAAAAAAAAAGAGAAATCACCACCAGGAATCAAAAAAGCTTTAGTACTAGTGATACTAACTTGCCTCAGATCGTAAGAAACAAAAACTAATTATATCGAAGTCAAACCAAACACCAACATTAATTAGCACAACATTCACACAATGATGAAATCGAAAACACTGATATGCTTAATATTTTTTAAGTATTTTTATTGTAACTTTGAAAAATATACAGAAATTATACATATCAGTTTAAATGAATGAAACCCACAGCCGCCGTCATGTTCTATACACAGACCAAAAGGATCAGTATGTACACAAAGTAAATCTGAGATTTAATTGGGGAAACTCGGTTCTTCAAATCAACAGTAATACATCAAAAAGAATATCACAATGCAATGAGAAAATGCAACTATACCTATACAAAAACGAGAATAAAGAAGTAGGCAAAACGAAGCTGAAAGAAAAATTATCCGAAAGAACGTGTGATTTGGAAAGTACATAAACTAAACTTTCGAAGATAAATAGAGTTGTAGAGTACTGTAAGCAGTGAAAGAAATATAGGCGCAATTTGTTACTTTACAGAAATGGTGTGTTTTCAGACACAACCTTGAGAACTTAGATAAGTAGTGATACTTGATTGACGGTTAGTTCATCCATTTTCGACAGTTAGCTGAACCACATAGACATGGAATTCGATCCCAGCGATCTTCTTCTAAGTCAAATTTGTAGTCATAGGTCAGTTCATCTCCTTTCTCAATATTTTTATTGGCAATTATCACTATATGATTAGAATTATCACAGTTGAGTATCTCTGCAGTGCAGTTTGGATCACAAGAATGATTGATATAGCGAGCTAACCCCCCACACATAGTTGCATCTACAATCCAATCATCGTCTACTCGAAACATATATATACCTCGGTTTTGTGACTCATATAAACGCTCACGACGATTAGCAACTTCATTACGAATAATCTCTCCTAGATACTCAATGATGAATGTGCTTTTGTTTATATCACGAGCAGCGTACAATCCCAATCCTTGAATACGTGATCGCGCTAAGACGACATTTGTTTTCCACTCTCGTCGTAATCGCCGATACTGTTGTGACTTACTAGTTGTGTTTGAAGATTGGGAATTTAAGTGGGTAGGGCTTCCAACATCTAAACTATAGGAATGACCGGGAGACTCAAGAATAACATGATTGTAAGCCATCCAAGGACAGCTGTTTATTTCTCCAGCAGGTTTTCTCCTAACGTACGTACGAAGTTTCGGTTCAGATCGAGCACAGCCGGTAGGATTTATCGCCAAAGGCATCTCTTGGATTAACTGTAGTTTACCGAATTTGAAAAGGTAATTGCTCAAACGATCAACACCGGGTAAAGACTCAATAGCACGAATAATGTGGGGTTCTGTTAGACCAAATAACACCTCGCCATGTATATTGCTCTGTAAAATTCGAAGGAGTGAAGACGTACGTTTCCGAGATAAGTTTATACGACTTAATATTTTTTGCCAAACACCGTCACATGTTGAGTCTTCAAAGCAGATATTCTCTTCATTTGGTTCTATTACCTCAACAGTAAACTTGATTAAAATAGACTTTACGTGCGACTGATCTTTATCATCAGACTGTATTACATCTTCGATTCGACAATCATAACGACAACGCCGACCCACATGACGAAATGACCAATAGAAACGAGTGCTCCAATATCCAACAGGATATATATGATTAGTTGTATGGAAAAAGCCACTAGCCAACTGTTCAGGTAGCAACTGTCCTATTCTATGCAATACTAATGTTCCAATACGTAGTTTCACTCTAGGTTCTTTGGTATTTTGAATCGCACCCAAATAGTCTTCATCCGAAATAATTCTTTCCACTTGTGAATGTTCATCTCGAGAGATATAAACTTTTCTTTCAACAGCCAGACTTTCAAGATGAAAAATATGGTTAGCACTGCTACAATGTAATGGGCAGTACATTCCGCGATCAGGATGAAACGAACAATCGATTTGATGAGCACAGGGAAGATGATAAACAGCCTCACAATCAGAATGAAAACACGGTAAGCCAGCACCAAGATCTTTACAATAAGTACATGGAGTCTTCAAAGCCTTTTTTAAAGAACGCGACACATCCATCAATGAGCCACTAACTGTTTCGTACGTTTCGTAGCACCACAGTATACAATTGAGATGCAACCACTTGTCCGCACTGTAATTAAGCAACCTGCTAGTCACATCATTTGATCCATCTCCTTTCTGGTGGCATAAATGACACACGCGAGTATCGTTACCTAAACACTTATTCGATAGAGAATAATTTTTAATGAAAACGGGCGCATTCGAAAATTTTTGAAATGAGTTGCGTGCGCACACTAATGAAGTATCAATGTGTCTGCGCCAACGAATATTGCGCCAACGTTTAAGAGAAGAGATAATTCCAAGAGATGAGCGATTGTGAGACACATCGTTCGTATTTCTTCTATGGTTTGTCTTCATATCTTGGAGAGAAGGACGCCTTGAAGCTTGCTTTACACGCTTATTATTGCTATTTTTTATTAAGAACACAGTTATTGGTTGAGATTCATTGTTGAAGTAACTGAAAGTGTAAAATCACAGTTATTATTTGGAATAGATGGTGTTATGTAGCTAGTTCCTTGTCGCTTTAGTTCCATCAGGCAACCGGAACTGCAAAATGACAAGCAGCTATCCTTATCTTGAGACTTCCACATGAGTGGCTTTTTAGGTAGTATGATTTGCATTTTACAATGAAAGCAAGTTTTCTGCGCTTCACTAACAAGCTGATCGAATAATATAATCTCTTCAGGATACTTATGGTCACATTTAATGTCATCATTCAACTCTGAAAGACAGCATTGAAAGTCGTCACTGACAACTGGGGAAAGAGGAGGCGTTATACAGTCCACGGTGGGAGTGATATGAAACTTATGCACGTTAAAAAGATTTAAGGGTGAGACTCGGTTTTCAGGTGTAGGGGAGAGGTAAGTAGAATAAAAGTTTCGACCAAGTGAACGTCGATATGCATCTACCAAGAAATTTTCTTGATTTAAATAGTTTATTCTTTCTTTGGTGTTAGGACACCTAGCCAAAAACCTCAAAATATTTTCTTCGGCAATGGGTTTATCTTTTAGTTTGCGTAATGACATTGGAAAACGAAAGTACTTTTGACCTAGAGAAGCCAAATCAGATATACTCGTTGAAAAGTTAGGCTGACTACATGGTGGTAGAGGAGTTGGAGCATATAGATGCAATAATGGACGAAGTACGGGATCTTGGATAAAACGACTGACATCTTGTAACAAAAGAGAATGCAGAGACACATTTGACGGAGTCTGATTTGTACGACAACTATGTATTTCACTATCCAACGACTTATGTCGCTTACCACCACGTCCCACTACTCTTGAACCTTTGCGTTTACTTTTTGATGCAGAAGAATCTTGAAACCCAGGCACAGAAGAATAATCGATTTTGGTAACTGGATTTATATCATTGTTTCTCCAATTGTGTCTAGAGTCCCAGTTGTTAATAAAGGTTTTTCTTTTGGTCAATGTGATTGAGTCTCGACTAGGTGCCATATTCTGATCAAGACTATAAGGAGGATAAGAGGTCACTGATACAACCGTCGTTTTATACATATGACCGTAGTTAGATAATAGTTTCGATTCAGCATGACAGTTACGTCCCTTCAATGGTAAGATGCATGGACTTGAGTAAGCGTTCCGGGATCTTTTTCCAGAAGCAAAAGTAGTTGTTCTTTCTGGTCCAGTAATGACTGGAACCCGTTGATGGGAAAAATCATTACTAATATACTTATTTTTTATATTAATGGGATCAAATCGCGTCGTATGTGGATCGACTGTCTTTGGGGAACACGTGGGTTTTGACGTTTGGAAGTCAGTATCATTCTGGTCATACAAGAGTTTACTTTCGCCACGCTGACGAGCAAACGAATCAGGAACAAGAACAGAATTCCCTCGACTTCGAATACAATCAGGTGTATTCTCAGAACTTTGGCAGAAATCACTTAAGTGACGAGAGTTAAAAGTGGCTGAAGAATCTGGTGATTTTAGGAGACATGTAGAACTCTCAGGAAATGTAGTTGATTGGTCACAAACAGTAAAAATCCCACCAACCTTAGAAACACAAGAATCCACCTTTACACCTACTTTTGAAGGTAAAACATATGATGCAGTCATTATGGTAGGATGAGTATTAGTTCCAATAGGTTGTGGACAATCAGGTCTTGAAGGAGCATCGTGGTATTTGTATTGAGTGGTCTCTGATTCGTTGTAAGCCAGTGATGTAAATGCAGAGTAGTTGCCATCATTCGAACATGAATTCTGAAGCGGTGTATTCAGAGGTGTTTGGATATCAGTGATACCGTCAGGAATTTTATTAGAAACCGCACGGTTATCATCCATGTCTGCACCCACAGATCTGACGAAGGCACTTTCTAGCATCCGATCTGGACATAGGAGAAAAAACTCATCATTAGCATTCGAAAAATGTTCAGTTGGTTGTGTTGAGGGAGAAAGGGAACAAACACTGTTTGAACGATCAGTATCGGTCAAATCTGAGGAAAATAAAAAGTTTACTGAACTATGTCCGTCTGAACAATCACGAGAGCTACTCTTGTCACTCGGCATTGACGGCAGTTCCAATGATCCAGGAGAAGAAACTTCTTTACTAGGTGTTTTGAAGGAGGATGGTGATGACCTTTGAAATGATTCATCATGAACTGATTCAACAAGAAATAAATCATGTTTACTGCACAACTGGTCTTCATTACTGTTCGGTGAGACCGAAATAAGAGGCGTAAACTGGCATATGTTGTTTGCCGAGGCACTGCAGTCATCACTCGTGGGGCCAAAAACATCCAGCACGGTTGTCATGTCTCAGTAGCATGGGATGAATCTTAAACATTAAAATGATAGTTGGGAACAAGGTGTGGTGTCAATCACAGTAGGTTCTGGAATCAAAGATAAAAAGTGATCAATTTAGGGGTGAGAATTTCCTGAACACACAAAAATCAAAACTTCACTTTACATATAAATCGGCAAGCTTAGAAACTGCGACAACATAAGATCATGGATGAGAGATCTTCGCTAAGTCAACACCGAAAACACAACAATACACACAAAAACCAGGTGGGCATGAGGACAAGTACTGAACGATGACATTGGGCGATGATTGTGTAATACCGTGAATTGATAGCAGGGAATATGGACCCCTGGATTCCGATCCAGTGGCTCAATGGTAACGTGCTGGTCACGGGACCTGAAGGTCCTGAGTTCGATCCCTGGAGGGGTTATGGGTGCGCACTGCTGAGTACCATACTAGGACGAAGCAGTTATCGAGTGCTCTCGTGTTTCTAATGTTTCTCCAACTGATGCCAGTCCATGCTATCAAGGCGACGGTGGTAAAACCCTTAAAATCTTATCTCTCCTGTACTTCTAACGGGCGTGTTACATAGCTGTATAGTTGAACAGAACGAACTGCAGCGCAGTACACTCGAGCCTTTAATAGACAATCTAGCCTTGAGTATACTTACAGAGGTTTTGTTTTTGACCTGAACCAAAACAAAACTAGAACGCACTCAGCCACCCTGTGCACGTTTGCCCCGTAAGCAACGAACCACATCAACTTTGAGGGCTAATGATACTACCTGGCTGCCCAGACCTTGGTAGATGCAGCGCGGGTCAGATCCGTGACCCACTGTCCAAACCAATAATTCAAAGCTCCACCCTCTCTGTCTTATAAGAGCAGATCCAACTTCATAGGTAAATGAAAAGGCTAACGTTCTAAACCACTTCACTCCATAACTGTTAACCAAGGTGTCGGCAAAGACCAGTCCTGAAGCAACAATTTACATGTAGACGGTTAAGAACCCATTCCAAACGTTTTCAGTGTTCACAAGACTCTGCATCTTGTCAGCACTTTCGCCTAACAGAACCATCTGTCGATTAAGAATTTGCCAATGACAAGATCAATCCCTGTAAAGTCGGACGACAACAGAGACCTCCATAAGTGCATTTGTGATAAATCTCAATAAAAACGGAGAGAGTAGGAATCCATAACGGATAGCGCCTCAAGTACACAACTCAAGAGACAACTCGCTATGAGCACTAACACCCACTGAAGTCCCAGTATAAAGCTTTCGAACGAGTAGTGGTTCTACTTGGCACCCACTTCAGTGAGAGGCACTGCTAAATGAAGGCCTACGCGACGAAGTTGAATATCGCTTGTATGTTAAGAAATACAGCTTTAGTCGGATGTTGGTAAGTGAGCCTTTGTTCTGAAACCCCGGGAGCGAACAAATAATAAATGTACAAACAAGACTGAAATCCGGCTGGCTTCCTTGAGTTTGCTCTAATTAGACATCTAACTGAGAGTCTTTATGGCTATGTTCGGCAGATTGATTCCTCTCTGGTTGTTATAAGAGGATTTCTCTCCTTTACTGAAGACAGGATCAATCAGATGTTCTATTGACTCTGCGGTCACCTTGCAGAAACAACTTCCAATGAGAGAAATTGAGAAGTACCAACTGTCCATATGTTCCTTGCAGCATACAAAACCAAACCAGTCATAACCCATCTTCCTCACCTTGATCTTATCCCCTACCTTCGCTTCCTAATGCCAATATTAGGCCACATACAGATTCACCAACTTCTCATCCTGCAGCCATTGCTAACGACCCAAGTCAGCGAAACACCATTCCCACACTGCCAATTTCATATTTGAGCTTTCAATGTCTGAACTATGTGCCAAATAGGATAATCTGCATTACTCGCATTTCTAGTTATGGACGTATGGTGTTTAAGAGGTGCACTATACTACTGTTTCCTGTACCCATTATGACAAGCATAAATGTATGGTCCCAGTTTACACATGTACTCTAAAAAGAGAAGCAATCCTCCAAAGACCCTCCCTAATGAGTTTTTGTATCCAGAGTTGGTTTGATGTCAGTGGATGAGCCAATGTCTCTTTTTATGTTTGAAGTAGTGGTAGCCAAAAACAAGTGGTTTTCAGAACAAATTTATCAGAAACAGATCGTTGTTGGTTGGCATTAAATACCATAGATACCTTCAGGATGACATTCCGATTGGCTCAGCTTTCCTATTTGAGCGTTGAAGTGACTTGCAATCAAAAATATATCTGTTTTATGTAGCGAAATTGACAGCTTTTGGTGGATTTCATCCTGTTTATCATCTGAATTTCAGTCAACGAACGCGTATGCAAAGACTAAGAATCAACATCGACGATTGTCAAAGTCTTTTTCAGTTCTTACACATGTATACAGTTGCACAGAGTATAGACGGCTGTTGACTGGTAATGCAATCGAGAAGCGCGCTTCCTCCTTAAGAACACTATACCTACTACTAACAATTTCGCGAGAACTAGCCACCGAATTTTCAGACACTCGCAAAGTGAATTTCGCAGATTCAGCACATCAGCCGCGTAAGGTACAGTGAATAAGCACATCTGAGTTATGCATGCATATCACACAAACATAACATACATCATAGCTTGAAATGCCAGAGTTTCTGCAAGTGATTTCCGCTGTCCGATTTAATAGAGAGTTCGGCCATTTCAAACTAAAATGAGACATTGGCAGTGTGGTCTTAGACTGGGATTGGTGTTTCGCTGACTTGGGTCGTTAGCGATGGTCGCAGGATGAGAAGTTGGTGAATCTGTATGTGGCCTAATATTGGCATTAGGAAGCGAAGGTAAGGGATGAGATCAAGGTGAGGAAGATGGGTTATGACTAGTTTGGCTTTGTTTGATGCGGACAGTTGGTACATCCCAGCTTTTCAAATTGTTTCTGCAAAGTACCTGAAAGATAAAATGGATTAGCTTTCAGTGACTGCAGCGCCAATGGGTCATGTGCTTAAAGTTGATCACACACAGCTTCTTCGGAATTTCGACATTTAAGTTTTGTTTTGAATGAAGTTATAAAATGCATACCTGTGGCACAGAAAGATCTCAGACAGGGGAGTATTGTGCTACTTCTTGGGCCGACCTCATTTAACACCCGGCCTATCAGAGGGAAGATATCAGGACGGACTGTTGATCATCCGCGTGGACCATTTTACAGCTATCACACTGTTCAGCCAGCAGTGGGCATTCACCTTCAGACCCCTGTTATAACGTAGCTATTTACATTACAAGGGTAACTGCTTTCAGCCTCACTCACTATCCAATAAATCTTTCTGGTACAGTAAAACCTCAAAGAAAATATTTTCCCACTAGCATACTTCATTGAGTCGTTTCAATAAGCACGTCTAACTATTATGTCAACTGTCGTTGAGGGTTCATGTATGCCCAATACAGTAGACATTTTTGCATTGATGCTAATAAACGCGAGGAGTTACAGTTGATCAGAATGTTATCTGAGGTATTTAAAACAAACTGTATACTGTTATGCTTGTAACAACTGCGAAACAGTTTGGCTACAGGAGTGAATGTGGCGACTGTGAATTATGTAGATTCACAAAAAGAAGAAAATTAGAGTTTTGTTTACATGACAGTCAGTAATCAAGATAGGTTCATAAATACGGGAATCCTGAGGCATGTTGCAGCTATATTTTCGAGCTCTCCAACTCTTTTAAGTAGCTCCTATATTCAATAAAACAATACGCCGAAACTCGCTTTTCCCCTACCGCTTTTCTGGCAAATACCACGCCAACAGGAAGACAGTGAACAAGAGATTACCGGTACTAGCTACACACCACACGAATACGATTCAAACTTAAAACTAAGCTCAATTTTGGCCACATCAATGCATAAAGGTAGATAAATTGAAGCTTCTACAAGTAGAATCCTTTAGATGGTTACAAAAAACAATTTATACAGCAATAAGGATTTTGTATTCCATAGCTGACTTGTATGACAATGACATGTTTAGAAAGTATGGCGATTAGTTTGGTGAGAAATTTCGGGTTATTTACAGATTTCGTGACTGATAATTTGGCTTTGAACAACCGCATACAAATCCTTTCTCCAAAAACAATTGATTTTCATTTATTTCATATGCTATTTTTAAAAAGTATCACGCACAATCGATTTTCGCATTTCTATAATAAGCCAGCAGTGGCACCGAACGGAAATCAAAGGCGAGAACGCCTAACCAAGGTCGGAAAATCTCCGATCGCAAAGAAACGTTGAGGAAGGGCCCACTTGCAAAATAGTTATCTCGGCTTCAATTCAGAACGTGAAATATATATATATATATATATATATATAAGCATGCAAAAATCAAATTTCATGTTCATATGATTCACTTGTCAACTGTATTGTTAAGGGGAGGATAGAATTACTACCAATAATAAGTCCAGACCGTTACCTGGAGTCCCCGACCGATAGCTGCTACCCAGACGTAGTGGTCCGGCTTGTATATCACAATGATCTAACGGGCTATGCTGGTGAAACGCTTGTTGCTCAGAGGTCCTAGCATACCAGAGAGGTCTGTTGGATAGTGGTAAGACGAAAAGCAGTTACCGTTGTGGTGTAAATTACTACACTATAACGGAGGTCCGAGGGCGAAGTCGTACTGTTGCTAGCGGGATGGGGTGAGACAGCAGTAAGGTGTTTACCTTGGGTGACCAGCAGTGCCAAACCGATGGTCATTCTCAGCGAAAGGCAGGGGTTCGAAAACGTCAGCCCCAAAAATAAAACACTCTACCACGCCCCATGGTCTGCCGGCGGTGTTGACTCATTTCTCCTTTCCTTTTAACCATCAGGCACCAAAACTACAAAAGTTTAAATACTCAAACTCAAAACGTTGCATACAACAGGGCTCAAACAGATGTGCTATGGGCTGTGTGGTCACAAATATTCTTCTCCCTCAGGTGCATTAGGCAGAAATAACCTTTCACGATGTGGGCAGACGGAA